TTGGGGACTGTGGTTTTTTTTTGCTTGGTTTTTTATGTCAATTTAAAAAAAAAATTTTTTGAATCTGGTAGAAATTTTTTTGCAGGGTTTCTGGTTTCTTTGATCGCTCCCCCATCATGACAAAAATGAGCTCTATTTATAGAACTTTTTAAGATTCAAATTCCAATTTTTCAGTGGGCCTAGACTTTTAGGTGGCCAAAATTTATGCTACTAGGTTAGGTAGGATTTTAGGCAACTGTTGGTGGTGGCGGTGGTGATTTTGAACTTTAGGAAGAGTGCATTTAATGCACTCATATTTTTTGTCAAACTAATTAGAACAGGAAAAAGAAAAAAGAAGGAAAAAGAAAGAAAGAAAGAAAAACAGAAAATAGAAAAAGAAAGAAAAAATATAATAATAATAATAATAATAATAATAATAATAATAATACAAATAATACAAAATGGTGTTTACATGTGTGAAATGCCAAAATGCGTTTATTTTTTGCGTTTGTTTAAGACTATTGTGTTGTTAAAGAACCGAAATATAAATACATGATATTAAAATTATTTGAAAATTTTGAACTTGATTGACAGACTTGATATGTATGAATAAATTTTGGTTGATATGTATCATATCAAATAACATATGTTTTTATATAGGAGATTGAGATAGGCAGTAAAATTGGACGTGTGAAATTTTTTTGCTTAACACAAAAAAAAATGGATCTTACATGAATGTCAAAACACAAGAAATTGTAATAATTTGTAACATCTATTTTAACAGAAAGTAAATATTTACTCTTTTTAACATATTATCAATTAATCATTAAATTTGATAGTTGTATATAACTAATTTACAGGAAAAAGCGAAAGAGAAAATGGTTGCTGATATTGAATTAGCATCTAATGGTTCTCTCAACATGTAAGAAGAATTGAAAAATCGGATATTCATAGAAGTTCTTAGAAAAAAAAGGCATGGACGGGTCTGAGGCCTTGGATTGGGTCGAATACCATCTAACTACTATGGACATAGCTCTTAGCGATTTACATTCTTAGTAAGTCAATCTTCACGAGACATTTCAATATTAAGAGAGGAGTTGCAAACTATGCAACAATATTTCCAGCAAATGGAAGCAGAAAGAGAACAAAAGCATGCCAAAATTGAGGAAGAACGTGCTAGAATAGAGCAAAAGTGTGACCGTTGCATGATCAATTCAATCATCTTATGAATTTTGTGCAACAATAATTTTCAAGAACTGATCTCGATGGTCTACCAACTCAGGTATTATTTAGTAAATATTTATATTTTTTAGTATAAAAAAAGCTTATAATGAAGTGTTAAAAATTGGTGACATTGATATAGTGACGTTTTTCAGATACAAATGCCACTAATATAGCGCATTTTATAAAAAAACGTCGTTATTTTTTGTGACACATGTATAATCGATACTCTAACTGACATTTTTCGTAAACGCCACAAATCTTTTAATGGCTTTTATAAATATCGCTAAACATTAAAAATAACGCCACTAAAAACCTAAATGCCTATAGTGAATTCACATATATCAAATTTTAGACAAAATACAATATTGCAATGGTGGGAAGGACTCTTCAAGATGACAAATTACAGGTATACCTACATATGCAAGATGTGTCTGGGCATGTTCCGTTTGGTAAAAACCACTATTTTTTTTTTTCCGGGAAATTTCAATCTAGACAACGATAGAGATGTTTTAATTCCTTGAGTTGGAGTCGCCATGAAATTTTTACTTCCAGCTGACTTTTACATTTGAATTGTAGACATCCACAACCTTGTAAATAGGATGCTTTGGCTTCAAAAATTGCCATATCAAAATGGAGATCAAAACCCATAGGGTTATCACTTTTCTCATTACATATTTCCATTTATATTTCTTTGTTCCTATGTCCAATTTGTCCACAGCATCTCATTCATCTAAAGGAGGTTTTTTTTTTTTTTCAATAGTAGTATATATAATTTTTATGTTTTATTTTTCAAAGTTCTTTAATCTTTTGGTCTAATAAGTATAGTTTAATTTTAATAGTAAATGATTGAATTAATTCTTTGAATAAAAATAGATACACTTTAGAAAAAAAATCAAATACATCTATAGCCAATTTTTTTTTCTTTTAGTATATTGATATATGAAGATATCTTCCAATCTTTTGTTGAAGAGGTTTAAGTACATGTTATGGTGTCATTCAGCCAAAAAAGGCTTATCAAGTGTTCAGAAGCTAACATCCTTAGAATAGTGAAATAAAGGAAGATGCAACCACTAATCAATCACCGAGGTGAGATATTTGAAATTGTAACCTCATTGACAGAACATACTCTATCCTTTGAAGTGGATTGAATTTGTTCTGCAACATCACGTCCAACAGAAAATGCAGGTTCTGCTGGTAGAGGAAGTCTTATGGTCTCGCTTGCCAACATGACAATCACAGATGACATGGTAGGTCTATCTGCTGGGTCTTCTTGCACGCACAACAGCCCAATACGGATGCGTTTAAGAACCTCAGTGGCCACACAAGACTGAACAAGGAGTGGGTCCATTAGCTCCATCCCTCGACCTTTAGACCATAGTTTCCATGCCTGTAAGGTTACTTAAAAATTAGAATGGTACAGCGCTACGGCCATCTATTTTTTGAAGACAAAGATGGTGTAAAAACGTATAAACGTTAGGAGGCTTTCACCACGCTCGGAAAGATGAAAGCCATTGTTCTTTTTGCCGCTTATTATCTCCAGTACGAGGAATCCGAAACTGAAAACATCGGATTTGACTGAAAAAGGTCCTTCCATAGCATACTCTAGTGCCATGTATCCACTATTTCAGTTCACAAAAATAGATAAAATCAGGTTAGATTATGAAAATATTAGAACCAAGAATCATTAAGTTTGAACATTGTGTTGTCACAAAATTGAAGGTTGATTACAAATTTTAGATAGTAAAGAACAGCCATGTTCCTCTGCAGAATAAACCTCAGCAAAGACTGTGATCCGGTGTACTGCTTTTCCATTTTACGAGTTCAATGCTAATTCTTTCTTTTCAATAACATTTTATTTGACACGGATGCAATATTAAAGATCAAAAGAAAACTACTGAAGAACCTAGATTGGTCAAAAAGCAAAAAAAAAAAGAATTGTGAGCCGAGAAAGTGCATGGGATAGTGGATTTACTATGTTCCAACCACTCTATTGGTATTTGCTTCATTTTGATTTCCACCAAAAATTGTTGCCATTCCAAAATCTGATATCTTTGGGTTCATTTCGTGATCTAGCAAAACATTGCTAGCTTTAAGATCCCTATGAATAATTCTAAGACGAGAATCCTCATGTAAATACTGGATGCCTCGGGCAACGCCATTAATAATGCTAAGGCGCTTCTGCCAATTCAGTTGCACACCAATGCTTGAATCTGGAAAAGAACCCCCCCAAAAGAATAATAGTAATTAGTTGATTTTTTTTACCATATTTCATGAAGAATCCTATTAAAAACGGAATGAACAAAGCAGAAACAAGAATTTTATGTTTGAGGATCAAACCAAAAAGGAACACATCAAGGCTTTTATGGGGCATGTATTCATAAACAAGCAGTTTTTCGTTCTGCTCCAAGCAGCAGCCCAGGAGTTTCACAAGATTTCCATGTTGTAGTCAGGCAATTAACATGACTTCATTCTTGAACTCAAGTAACCCTTGCCCAGAAGTTCTAGAGAGCCTTTTAACAGCAATTTCTTTACCATCTGCCAATTTGCCCTAAAAGAAGGAATTAAAAAGCATCATAAAAGAAGTAATTATGTGAAGTTGAAGAGGTGCATCGAATTTTATTTTTTAAACTCGAACTCAATTCAAGGTAAAACTCGAATTAAGTTCAAACTCGTTCGGTTTTTTTTTATTTTTGGATAGTTGACCTTTGTTTTCTTCTCTCTGAAGAAATTGGACATTGAAGGCCTTTCTCCTTCGAAGTCGAAAAATTTGAGAGCGTGATGTCCACAGATCAGGATGAATATTCCACTCAAGCACTTGAGGAATCTGCAGTCCTACTTTTGCCGCAGGATTTGGATGAGTATTGGAGCGAGATAGTGTTGGAAGAACCCACTTTGATCTGATCGAAATAAAGAAAAGTGTGGGATCAATTGGATGAAATTGAAGTGGAACAAATGCACTAAAAACGAAGAAGACAAAGTGAATTGGATTGAATGAGTCTAAGTGTCCGGGGCGAACATGATTGGAAAAGACCTCCTATCCCTATTCTAGCTCGCCATTATTCTTTTTAAAAAATAATAACATATGCTTACCTTGGGATGTCTCAAAAAACACAGAGACGTTGGAACCAAGTCTTTTCTCTTGTGACTTGTGTAATAGTGCCAGGGGGGAGAGGAAAGTCATGAAATTGAAAGAGAAGAAAAGAGCCATGAGATTGAAAGAGATAGGGATAGCGTTGCTGGGGGAGAGGAGAGTTGTGAGATTAAAAGAGATAGGGCTGGATTTATATTTTAAAAGTAAAATTGTAATTTATAATTAAAATAATAAAATATATATTAAAATAAAAAAATTCGATAAACTTGCGAACAACTCGAGTAAAGTATTAATATTCGAATTTGATTCGTTCAATAAGTTAAGTTACTCGAGTTCAAGCTCAAACTCGATTCGACAATAATCGAGTCAAATTCAAATTTTTTTCAAATTAAAACCAAATAGCTTACGAGTATAAATATATCATTTATGCCCTTAATCTAAAAAAAGTTTTTTTCTTTTTCAATAGTAGTATATAGTAATTTTAATGATTTATTTTTCGAAGTTCTTTAATCTTTTGTTGTAATAAGTATAGTTTACTTTTAATAGTAAATTATTGAATGTAATTCTTTGAATAAAAATAGATATACTTTTGAAAAAAATCGTATAGCCAATTTTTTTTTTTCTGTTGTATATTGATATATGAAGATATCTCCCATTCTTTTGTTGAAAAGATTTAAGTACATTTATGGGTGTCATTCAACCAAAAAAGGCTTAATAAGTGTTCAGTGAAATAAAGAAAGATGCAGCCACTAATCAATCACCGAGGTGACATATTTGAAATTGTAACCTCATTAACAGAACAGATTCTATCACTTGAAGTGGATTGAGTTGGTTCTGCAACAACACGTCCAACAGAAAATGCAGGTTCTGCTGGTAGAGGAAGTGTTATGGTCTCGTTTGCCAACATGACAATCACAGATGACATGGTAGGTCTGTCTGCTGGGTCTTCTTGCAGGCACAACAGCCCGATACGGATGCATTTAAGAACCTGAGTGGGAACACACGACTGAACAAGGAGCGGATCTATTAGCTCCATTCCTTGACCTTTAGACCATAGTTTCCATGCCTGTAATGTTACTTAATATTAGAATGGTACAGCCTTACAGCAATCTATTTTTTGAAGACAAAGATAGGATAAAAACGTACAAAGGTTAGGAGGCTTTCACCACGCTCCGAAAGATGAAAGCCATTGTTCCTTTTGCCGCTTATTATCTCCAGTAAGAGGACTCCGAAACTGAAAACATCGGATTTGACCGAAAAAAGTCCTTCCATAGCATACTCTGGTGCCATGTATCCACTATTTCAGTTCATAGGAATAGTTAAAATCAGGTTAGATTATGGAAATCTCAGAACAAAAAATCGTTAAGTTTGAATATTGTGCTTTCATAAAATTGAAGGATGATTACAAATTTTAGATTGTAAAGAACAGTCATGTTCCTCTTCAGAATAAACCTCAGCAAAGACTGTGATCTGATGTATTGCTTTTCCATTTTACGAGTTCAATGCTAATTCTTTCTTTTCAATAAAATTTTATTTGACACAGATGCAATATTAAAGATCAAAAGAAAACAAATGAAGAACCTAGATTGGTTAAAAAAAAAAAGGAACTGTGAGCCTAGAAGGCATGGGATAGTTGACTTACTATGTTCCAACCACTCTGTCTGTATTTGCTTCATTTTGATTTCCACAAAAAATTCTAGCCATTCCAAAATCTGATATCTTTGGGTTCATCTCGTGATCTAGCAAAACATTGCTAGCTTTAAGATCCCTATGAATAATTCTAAGACGAGAATCCTCATGTAAATACAGGATGCCTCGGGCAATGCCATTAATAATGCTAAGACGCTTCTGCCAATCCAGTTGCACACCAATGCTTGAATCTGGAAAAGAAACCCCCAAAAGAATAATAGTAGTTAGTTGACTTCTAACCATATTGCATGAAGAATCCTGTTAAAAAACCGAATGACACAAGAATTTTTTGTTTTAGGATCAAACCAAAGAGGAACACATCAAGGCTTTTATTGGGCATGTATTCATAAACAAGCAGTTTTTCGTTTTGCTCCAAGCAGCAGCCCAGGAGTCTCACAAGATTTCTATGTTGTAGTCTGGCAATTAACATGACTTCATTCTTGAACTCAAGTAACCCTTGCCCAGAAGTTCTAGAGAGCCTTTTAACTGCAATTTCTTTTCCATCTGCCAATTTGCCCTAAAAGAAGGAATTAAAAAGCACCATAAAAGAACTAATTATGTGAAGTTGAAGAAGTGCATTGTATACTAAAAAGTATAATACTCCATCACCATAGTTACCTTGTACACAGGGCCAAATCCACCTTCTCCAACTTTATTTTCATCACAAAATTGTTTTGTTGCTGTTTGTAATATATCTAACTGAATCGAAGGGAACTCCATGGATCTCACCCCACTCTCACCTTGAAAATTTTCAATTGAGTAGCCGTCGCCAACCCTTTCTTCTAATTCAAGTAACTGAACTTCTTGGCTGTTATGATCTGTACTCTCTTCAAGAGAAAACAATTAATTGGCATAACAACAGAGTCAAGAAAAAATGAGGTGGAAGTGTGATCCAATGCATACCATGAAAATTTCTCCTTCTCCAACGGAAAATACCTCCACAACAGAACAGAGTGACGCCAAAAATCGCGGATAAATTTGCAACAATAGGAATCCACTTTGGTTCAATAGGAATCCACTTTGGTTCGCCTTGTTTGCCACCTTCTAAGTCTGTTACTCCAAAACAAAGTTATCTTCCAGTTGATTTTTAGTGGAATAAATTTCTAATTTTTGTATTCTTCTAGTTGTTTCTGTTTTGCAGATATTAATTAATTTGTAATTAGTTTCTGTAGCAGGTATTTTTCCTACTTTCTTTTTTGATGGATCAAAATTTCAGTAATTAAAAATTAGGCAAGCTTAATTCTCTAGCATCTGATGATACTAACCGTTTGAGCCACGTGGTTTGTTTACTGAAGGAAGGGGTGCTTCTGATTCAACTCCAGGACTCTTGATTATCGTAGTGTTTGTTGATTCGTCTCGAGGTTTTCCATAAAATGGATATATCTCATACCTGATGCTACAGCTTGGTAGGAAAACTCTCGCACCTTTTCTTCCAGTCGCTAAAGATAGGATTTTAGCTATTGAGCTACGTAGACAAGATTGACAATCGGCAACTGACAAATCAGGGGTGCATTGAGCAAGTCCATACAGCTTCGTGGAATTTGAAACACTAACTTCTGTAGTTGCATACATGTAGTTAGAAACATTTGAAATCTTCGTGATCAGATTGGCGAAAGTCTCGAGCAGATTAGTTTCAAATTTGTCAATGTCCGTTGCATTTGCACGATTATACATACCAAAAGAAGGTGATAGCTCCATGATAGAGAAGAAAGATCTATTGGAAAAGCGCACCAGGCATGCATCATAATATATGATCGCCTCTTTGTCACCAGCGCAATCCTCTACGATCTTAGCGGTTGCTAAGTCAATGCAGCTTTCACAGAAATTGGGTTGGACATCACCTCTACAGAGGAAAAGGCCATAAACCTTGTCTTGATTTTCCCCAACCGTATCGTTAAAGAAACCATAGATACTTCCTTGGCCATAAAGCCGCTGGATAAGAAGGTGGTAAAGGTTGTTCTCGAACCGAAGACTAGAATTAAATCTTTCTGAGCATCTTGTATAGAGATAAGAGTGCTGCATTTCGGACTTGTTTTGTGAGATAACAAGGAGCGGAGAAGAAAGAAAGAGAAGCAGGCAAAATGCGCCTGAAACAGAAAGAACAACATAATAGTGCATCATCTTCTTCCAATGTTTTTCAATAATTCAGAAATCTGAAGTTTTAAGGCCATAATTTATACGGAATGGGTTATTAACTGAGATTAAGAGGCCCTCCTCGACAAATTGACATTTGACTTCTAGAGTTCCTTCTGGCGACAAAATTATCTCCACTCGATGGTCTTTTACCTCGTTTGGCAAACACGTTACACACTGTTTTCTCGTTAACGTGCATTTTGCATGTGAATAATATTTTTGTTAGTATTTTAATAAAATAAATATTATTAATTGTTTTGATCACCATGAAAATTTCCGATTAATTATTTATGTTATGTTGTTAACAAGTTTTTACTTTGCTAAGCTAATTATTTTTGTCTAAGTTTATTAATTTTTATGGTTTACCACTTTGTTAAAGCTTAATTTATTACAATAGAATTTAAAATTTGATCATAAGGAAAAGGTTAATATAATCTTCGTACCATAAAATTTTTTTTCTTCTATAAAAGAGATATATGCTTTCATTCTATGAATATAACTAAGGTTACTATAGAATCAGCTTTAAGCATATATTACGTATTAATTTATTATTATATAATATAATATAATAAGAGTACTTTTGCTTACCAATTAACGTGATGGAGTGACATAATATCATTGATATTTCTTGAGGTGATGTGATTACTCTTTCGAGAAGTGATGTAATATCCAAACAGATGGAGAATTAGCCGCCAAGTACAATCACTTAGACGCGCCGTGCGAGACATCAAAAAATATTTTTATTTCTAGATTTGTAAATTCTCCCTTAAAAATTATAAATAATTTTTTACTGTTAAATTTTGCTAACAAAAGTCTTCAAAAAACATTTTAAAATTATTATGTTAAATAATATTTTATTTCAATATATTGAAAATTAATATATTAACTGTCAATTATTCATTAAATAAAGATATTATTATAAATATAATATTAATTAATCTTACAAATTTCTTAAAAATACTCGAGATAACAAAACTTTCTATTATTTATTATATCATTTCTTATTATTAATACCAAACACTTCCTTAGAAAAAGAAAACATAGCAAACACTCCCTTGAAAAAGGAAAGCATTTAAACTTCCTGGAAAACCAGTAGGCCAGTCACGACATTGTAATTTTCATCTTAAATTGGATCAATTGACAATTTGTTGTGTGTACAGAGCAGAGTTTTCCGCATGCACCCCACAACTATGCTTTTCAGCTAAAGCACAAAATCAAACTCTTAAGGGGCCCATGGATATTTCTATTAAGACCTGCATCAAGACCAATTGTATGATACAAAATGGGAAAGGAAATTGTGGCACTTTTAAAGGTTTTGCAGAGGATAGAAAATTAAAAAGATAAAAAAAATTGAGAGAGAAAAAAAATCCAAATTAAGATGGAAAAACTATGATTTTTTCTTGGTGTGATTTGGTAAGAAAAATTAAAAAGTGGATGGAATTAAAATAATTTTATTAGAATCAGCTCTAAAAATGAAAATCTCGAATTTAAACTTTAATTATAATTAAAATAATTTTCTTTTACATCATTTAATTATTTGATTGAGTTAAAAAATAATATTATTTCATCATATATATTTTAAGTAAAATAAAACAATTCTAAAAGTAAATAAATATTTTATGGATTTATAATATTTGACTCCTTTTTATTTTCTCTCGTTTATTTTTTTATTTCAAATGTTTTATTTATGAATAAAAATAAAAAATGGCAATCTCTTTTATTATTATTATTTTTTTTTTTTTTTTATGATATCAGCTCAACTGCAGCTTAATTAACCTAAAGGTGAAGCTTAAATATTATGAGTTATAAATCCTAACAGGCAGTTACTATCGAGCAATTTCGGGGAAGAGACTTTCAAGTGAAGGTCATATATACTATTACAGACTTTCTTATTCAGAGTTTTCTGGTAAAACTATGTAGAAAATATAAATGCAACGAATTAATAGGTCTTACGTATCAATTAATGTGTGACTTTTGCGGTTGAAGTCGATTCTAACGCGCAGTTGAATATTATTTTCCCAACAAGACGCAAATGGAAAATTCAAGGGAAAGAAAACGCAAGAGAAAATCATTGATTCTACGTACAACTTCAGGCAAATAAAGAAATGGGCGGTAAACTTTATCAACAATTGGAGTTGTTCCAGGAAGGTACGTTTAGCCCTTTCACCACTCTAAAGCCGACGATGCACTGGATATCTTGACCTGGCCAAAACAGAAAGTTCAATGATCAACGAACGGCACTGGATATCTTGTCTTGTCTGAATTTGTCCATAAATATTAGAAGTACTAATAATGCTAAAATAACAAAAAAAAGTCTCTTAAATTTCATAACTTTAATTAAATAAAATTTTATATTTTTATTATTTAATTTCCACTCATATAATCTTTTAACATTTAATTTGTATGTAAATAACTTATTAAACTTTTAATTTATACATAAATAATTCCTTAATATAAATCATTCTTTTATTTTAAATGAAAACTTATTTACATACAAATCAAATTCTAAGAATTTATTTGGATAAAATAAAAATAAAAGAGTTTATTTAAAAATAATGAAATAATTCAAAGATTTTTTTTAATATTTTGGCTTAATAATAATTATGTCTTGCATACGTACTTGTGATACAATTATTAAAACCTGGTAAACTGAAATAGGTGTCGAGCATTTATGAATTAAAAGGGTGTAAATGTTAGATGGCCCCTTAACAGAACAATCTCATCAATAGTCTTGTTACATTTGATTTAAACAAAAAGGAATAGAAATTTTGAACATTGAACTTTTATCCTATCAAGAAGAATTTACAGTAGGTAGATTAAATTCATCAATTTTTTTACTCGGCTAAATATATTCAGCGGGCTGAGATATTAGATATTGTCTTGTGATTTATTGATGAATCTGTTGCAGAAAGACTGGTCAACAGGAATTAATAACTCTGCCAACAGGAAAATGCGGGTCTTTTTGGTTCAGGAAGAGCAAATAAGGTTCCACTAGTTCCAGTTCTTTTCCTTCCTTCTTTACATGGTCGCCAGGCCTGCCAATGAATTCACATATATCAAATTTTAGACAGAAATATTGCACTGATGGGAAGGACACTTCAATTTTGATGACTAATTACAGGTATACCCACATATGCAAGATGTGTCTGGGCATGTTCCGTTTGGTAAAAACCACTATTTTTTTTTCCGGGCAATTTCAATCTTGACAATGATAGAGATGTTTTAATTCCTTGAGTTGGAGTCCCCATGAAATTTTTACTTCCAGCTGATTTTTACATTTGAATTGTAGACATCTACAAACTCGTAATAGGATGCTTCGGGCTCAAAATTAGCCATATCAAAATCGAGATCAAACCCCATAGGGTTATGACTTTTCTCATTACATATTTACATTTAGATTTCTTTGTTCCTCTGTCGAATTTGTCCCTAGCATCTCATTCATCTAAAGGAGGTTTTTTTTTTTTTTTTTCAATAGTAGTATGTAATAATTTTTATGTTTTATTTTTCAAAGTTCTTTAATCTTTTGGTCTAATAAGTATAGTTTAATTTTAATATTAAATGATTGAATTAATTCTTTGAATAAAAATAGATGCACTTTTGAAAAAAAATCAAATACATCTATAGCCATTTTTTTTTTCTTTTGTATATTGATATATGAAGATATCTCCCATTGTTTTGTTGAAAAGGTTTAAGTACACGTTATGGTGTCATTCAGCCAAAAAGGCTTAATTAATATGCAAATAATGGATAATAAGTTTTATTATTGATGGAATTAATTACAAGTATAATTAATTTTAATAGTAAAATGATTGAATTAATTCTTTGATATAAATATAGATACACTTTCGAAAAAATAATCAAATCCGCATAGCCAATTTTTTTTTTTCATGCAATAGAATATGTGTGAGATATCTCCCATGTTTCTGTCTGAATAAGGTTTAATACATTTTATGGTGTCATTCTACCAAAAAGGCTTAATAAGTGTCCAGAAGCTAGCATCCACTATAGGAGATTAGGTCTTTAGTAAGTTTTTTTTTTTTTTTTTTTCATGTTTAGCAACGTTTATAAACTCCTTTATATGATTTGCAACATTTGTAAAAAACGTCGTTAAAAGTGTCAGTTATACTTACGTCGGAAAAAATAATGACATTTTATAAATTTCACGATGTTTTTGTACTAAAATGCCTCTAAATTTACTAATTTTATGGCATTTCTATCTAGAAATATCACTAATTTAGTAACATTTTTTGAGAAACGTCGTTAAGTTTAGCGATATTTTTAGTAAAAATGCTGCTAAATTTAATAGTTTTTTTGCATACAAATGCCGCTAAATGAGATAATTTACTTTTTTTTAAAGATTTACTGTTATAATTAAATAAAAAATAGATAAATATTTTTAAAATCATAAAAACAAATTTAAATTCATAAACTAAATATTATAAATATCTAAATATTTAAATATATAATTTGTTTCAGTATGCATGTAACACAAAGTTTAATAAGAAAATTACAACATTAATTTTTCAAATATTCGATTATATATATTTTGTGTTTTCAGAGAACTAGAAGTTAAATTGGTGTAACATGTTTGCTCTAGGTGTTGAGTCTCCTTTTATAAGGAACCCAAAATTCTAGCCATCAAAGCCAGCTAACTTCAGGTAAAAACAACAGTACCACACCAAATTTGAACCATAAAATATAGATACTTTCAATTTATTAAATGTAACTTATTGCTTTCAATTTGTTCTTTATACCAATTTCAGCCTAGAGAAATCTTAAAAAAGAGACAAACTACAGCTAAGATTTGAGTGTACCTAAATAAATTTACTGTCAAGGAAAATAATGATAACTCTACCCAATTGATCTTTGTTGACTGCAAACTACAAACGATTTTACCAACAAACCAAGCTTTGCCTCAAGCTCTGCTAGTTCCTTAAGCTTTGCAAATTACAAATGATTTTAGCTATGCTTGTTGAGAGGAAATTTTCATGAAGAGGAAATTCATGAAAAACAAG